AGAGAGAGAGAGAGAGAGAGAGAGAGAAACTCACCTGGACTAAACAGAAAAATCTCCGCTTCCACTTCTTCCAAACGGCCCTCCCGACACCGTAGCAGTATCCGCAGTACTTCAAATTTGGAGGCTTCTCCACCCGGATTGCGATTCGAATCTATATCCACGCGGTAATAATTTGACTTTCCGATACCTTTAAGGCTTGATCTTGGCTGCTCTTCGGCACGGTCATCTTGTACCACTCCGGGCTGCGCAAGCAGTTCGGCGTGGGCTGGATGATGACCTGAAATTAGACGGTGCTTTAAAGGGAGCGTGACATTAGCAGTTGGCTAGATGAAACGGACCTTGCCCAACTCCTTGTCCTCAAAGGAGACGATGCTCTTCACCTCGGTGTACAGCTTCACCTTGACGGTCGGGAGGGGATTTTTGGTGGAGAAGTCACCCTGGGTGTCCCAGCTGAAAAAAGGAGGCTTTCGGAAGGTTTTAAAAACCGCATTAAATGGACTCGGCAATGCGTAAATCAATTCCCTAAAATCCGCTAGTTCTAGACTCTAGATTTTGGCACTTACACGGCCCTTCAAGAGCTACCGGCGAGACGATACGACTTACGAAGGTTTTGAGGCTTCTGCATGGTCGGTCTGGAGCTTCGATCCGTCGACTTCCATCGTGCAGTAGACGATACGATTTGAAGCGACGGATTTCAGGTTTTGGACTTCCATGACGACGACCTGGAGATGTTCAGGTTCTCTCTCTCTAGCTCTCTCTCTGTCTTCAGTCTCTCTCTCGCTCTCTCGCTCTTTCTCGCTCTATGTCTCTCTCTCTTTCTCACCTCCATATTAAAGGTGAGTACGACATCACTCTTCGTCAGCTGCACCTCCCCGTCATCACTATCGGTTTTCCCGAGTGAATTTGAGCTGGTCCTCCGTTTCAAGCTAAAAGGTGCTGTTTCTACAGTACGCTACGCAACGACAAGACGTGACACATTTCCAGACCTCCGGCTTTTGTGGGGTGTGGATTTGGTTTTGATGGGTTCTTGGTGGCTGCAGAAAAATTGGGTGGGGCAGGCTAGCAGGGATTTTTTAGAACTTTTAAAATGGGGTAGGTATGAGATATTTTTAGGCATTGAAAGTGATGTTTTTACTTAAAATAAATTAGAAAATCAAAAAAAATAATAAAAAAAATAAAAATATTTTTAGAACCAAAAAAATTATCTGGCAAGCTCGCAAAAATCTTTGAGGAAATTTGGGGGTCTTCCTCCATCGAGAAATCGAAAATCAGACGGGGCAGGCTAGCAGAGATTTTCGGGGAGTCGGACTCCATGAAACGGATCAAAATTGACTTCCTTGTACGTTTAAAATGTTTCTTTTCTGCATCCACCAAAAACACCAAAACCTACAGTACCCCACAGCCGGTAGAGGTCGCACACATCTGGCTTCACAAATCGACCGCGGCCAAAAACGGCAAAAATGGTTTCTTGCTACCTCGCGCTATCGTCATTACCAGCCACTGGCAGCCCGAAAAATGGTACAGTACACGAGGCTTCACGCGATTCAATTCAAATTTGGTATACTTTAAATAGTAAATTGCGTATTTAGCTAATTTGCATATTCGTAAAATTGCGTAAATTGACATGGTTCGAATTTGGAGGATTATCTAAATTATTTTAGGGCGCAAAATAGCCATGATTTGGATTTTTGCATAATTTCCACACTTGCTAAATCAGCGTATTGTTAATTTTGAGAAATTATATAAGGTTTCTAGGTTGTAAAATTCAGATATTTGTCTAATTTGCATATTGCGTATCTAAACTATTTCACAATTTTCGAACATAAAGCCGAGCCGAACCACCCGAAGGTCGGGGTCCGCACGCACGCGGCACGCACGCGAATCACCAAGCCGTTCCAGCCGACAGCGCAAAATCAAAAATAATAAAAAATAAGAAATTTAAAATGGGGAGGGGCGGGAAGTTTTAATAATTTAGATTTTAAAGCTTGAACAATATAAAAGCACTTAAGGCCAAAAATATCCTTTCTTTTTGAAATTTAAGGAAGTTTCTAGTCAGAGCAATTTTTAGAATTTTTCTAGGGTGGCTGGATATAAAAATTTTTAATTTACGTTTTGATATTTATATAATTAATTAAATGTTTTATATTTATATAATTAAATGTGATTAAATTCAAAATTTATATGATTTTTAGCCAATCCAGCCACCCCCAAGCTACTCAAAAACGCGCAAACGAACCAAGGACCCGGAACACAGGAAGCGGCCAAAAAACGAACGAATCGAGAGAGTGGCGAGAGAGCAGAGAGAGGGAGCAGAGATGCAAAGAAAAAGCAGAGCAAACGAACTCAAAAACCGGTGATGTTAGTGAGGAGGGGATGGAGAGAGAGAGAGAGAGAGAGAGAGAGAGAGAGAGTACGGTAAAAGAAGAGATTCAGGGTTTAAAGGGACCGTGAAGGCAAGAATCCTGAAGTCTTATAGCCTGGCATAGGCTAAGCAAAGCTTAGATTCAGGCTTAGCTTAGGCTTAGCTTAGGCTTCGGCCCCAGTCCTACGGATTCTTGCCTTCCCAACCCCTTTAAACGGGTGGAGGTGGGGGTTTCGATGAATTTGAATGTGGGTATTTCGGGTAGGGTCAAACCTGTTAAACAGCGACAGATCCTCAATGGAGCGCGACCTGAAACGGAATACGAAATTGATGGGAATATAGAGACGTGAAGGGGCGGACGGGGAGGAGGAGGAGGAGGGACGGTAGTTGGTGTTGGACGGGTAGGAGTAGAGGTAGAAGGGGAAGGAGGAGGAGAGAAGACTATCGTATATTTAGGGTGTACGGTCGGGGTTTTGAGGGAGGAAGCGGGAGAAGTTGTGGTTATTGACGATTCGGATTTCGGTGATAATGCCGACAGCTAAAATCTCGACGACCAGAACTCGATAGCCATAATCCCGACATACAAAATCCCGAAGGGTCAAAATGCCGAAATACGAAAATTCCGACTGTCGGGATTTTCCCTATCGGCAATTATCATTTTAAAGGTGCAGAGACAGTTTCGTAACTCGTAATCGTCAATATCCTGGCGTCAATAGAAACGGGGGAATTTTTTTTGCAGGTACATCGGAGGAGAAATTTGCATATTCGGGTTTGAGAACCGCCTCGCGGCTTGCATACGCGGTTAGTATTGAGGTGGTGGACATTGTGGTGCTTGGGAACTCCGAAATTTTTTCGGGAGCGAGTACTGTAGTTTTCCGCGAATTAAAATTATTGAAAAATCGACAGCTAAAGAGCTACAAAACTACAGTACCCCAGCAGAAAATCATAAAAAAGATCATCCTAAAATTCGAACTAAAAATTGTGGTGATGGGTCTCAACTGAAAGGTGCTTATATGCATAAGAAAAAATTAAAATTCGGTAGCTGAAAATTTGAGCTTAAAAATTGAAAATTGACGTTTTTAACTAATTAAACCAAACTTTACAAACTTAATAAAAATTTTGGAAAAATGAAAATAAAAAACTAAAAAGATTATCACCCAAAAATATCCCCGAAAGGTCACAAAAATTAGAATAGGGATTTAAAAAATTTAAAATAAGAGTTTCAACGATAATATGAATAAAATTAAACCATGCAACGGAGTCACGGAAAGTATCGGAAAATTAAGGAAATTAGGAATGGAGGGATGGAAATTAATAGTTAGGTTTTTTTAAATTAACGGGGTTACGGTAACTAAAATCTGACATATAAAAAAATTGTAAAATTTGTGTTGGTTTTCTGTTTTAACTTAAAAAATTCAAAAAAAATTCAAAAATCTAAAAATTGCAATTTTACTTTACAAAAACCAATAGTGTCTTCTACTCGTGAATTCGTGAATATCTTCAGTGAATTTAAAAAATTGACTTGCTAGTGTAGGAATTAAAAAAGTGGGCGGGGCTAGGGTAGTACTGTAGTAGTAAAAGTGGGGGTGTCATGGCAAAGTGCCAAAAATCCCCTGGATAGGAGCAAAAAACGGATAAGAAACTGGGGGGTTCTGTGGCGTTAGCGGGGGGAGGAAAACGAGCTTAGGCTTAGGTTAGGCTTAGCTTAGGCTTAGCTTAGGCTTAGCTTAGGCTTAGCTTAGGCTTAGCTTAGGCTTAGCTTAGGCTTAGCTTAGACTTAGCTTAGACTTATCTTAGGCTTAACTTAGGCTTAGCTTAGGCTTAGCTTAGAATTACGAATCTTTCGATAACTTTTTTTGTAGGTAAAAAGCGAAAAATGAAGATTCTCATTTTCCTCCCCCGCTAACGCCACAGAACCCGAAAAACGTCGGTAGGAGCGGAAAGAACACGGGTGGTGAATTGGTCTTACGGGGAATCGGCAACTGAGACTATTGGTATATAGTCACTCACTTCTTCTTATTTGTCGACCTAAAGGTCAGCGGGTTATGGTATTTCGTGTACGCGACGCGACACGCTACGCACGACTCACCGGGAGCGGTTCTGCTTCTTGTTGCCGGCGTTTTGGCCGCGCGGAGCGACGGGGACGGATTCAAGGTTGGCGATGAGGAGATTGATCGATTGACGGACCTTAAAAACCATCGTTAGCCCTGCAAGTCGTTGAAAATTAGCACTAAAATCCCAACGAATGGATTGTAAACCTTTTTGCACCTTTTTTAAGCGTTAAAGGTTTTTTCTGAGACTTACTTCATCAATGTATAGCGTCTCCATGTCCTTGACGACGAATTTTGGCATCATTTTTCGCATCTGAAGTTTTTAGGATAGGTTTTAAAAAGCCAGTCTTCAACTTTTTAAATATCATGCATCGAATTTGTTAAAAATTTTGTTTCGAAAAATCTTTAGATTCTACCTTATGCAAATCCTTCAGCGCCTCTTCCCGGGTGGTGACTTCTCTTCGGATAGCTGCCGCTTGTTCATCGAGATTGTCGAGCTAAAAATTCGCTAGATCTGAGATTGACTTGCAGTGAATTTCTCACACAACTAAATTCTAAAATGAACTAGCTTAGCTAGCTACAGTACCGCATTTTTCGTTTTAAAGGAGCAAATCAGAATTTTTCCGACATCAGTAAGTCGAGAAATCAACCTACTTCGGCCCGCTAGATCTCGACAGCTACAAGGTACTCCAAAAGGCGCGGGGGGACGCGAAAGTCGTAGTTTAACTGGCCTGGGAGGCGAGCGAGCTACTATCCTCAAAACAGTGAAACACGTGCGTCGGGTTGGCGCGTAGCTGTCGAGACCTAGTCAGCGGTGGTAGTCCTTTAAGGGTATGAGCAAGGTTCGTGTATCTAGCGTCATCTACAATCGGCGCAAAACCATCTGGGTACGCCCTGCTTTTTGCCGACCCACCCGTCTTATACCAATTTAAATAAGCCTTCCGAATCCCTACAATGCCATTTTCTCACCTGCAGCGCGTTGAAGATGATCTGGTGCTCAAACTTCTTGACGGTAAGCACTTGTTGGAACATGTCGAACAGTTGCTCCTTGCCCTGGATCATATCCGCATTTGCCTGGTTGGCGCCTCGCAATCGGCCCCTGAAAAATTCAGAGTTTCAAAAGGTTTGTCAAATTTTTTTTAAAGCGCATACATTTTTATCAATCAGAGGGATTAGAAGCGCCGATCTATCGATCTTAAAAATTATCGAAAGCTAGGTATATTTTCAAAAATAGCAACTTAGTCTTAACACGGAAAAATCAGAGTTTTAACGCATTTGTAGGAATTAGGCGGCGGAATCAAAAACATTTAGAGACAGAAAACATAGAATTAAGTTAATTAGCTTAAATAAGTAACAAGGACTACATCTGCAAATTGAAAAAAACAAATTAAAGCATCGTTTGCAAGGTGATTTTATACGAGAAAAAATTATTGAAATGTTGTTTCTCTAGTGCTTGGAAAATGTTAAATTTCTTGAGGGTTTCAAAAATTCCGTGCTTTAACTAAATGCTAACTGATTTCAATCGATTTCAAGAACCGTCAGCTACAATTTTAGTAACAAAAATCAAATCTGCTGTAAAGAAACGGATTTTTAGATACGGTATGTAAAATTGAAGGGTTTTTAAGAAACCATATACTTTGTTAAAAAAGCCAATCGAAAAACTGATGCATACTATTATTATTATTACCACACATTCTATGTGAATCATTTGGACCATTGGACAATTCGGGACAAGACCAGTCGGACATTCGGACACGGTTCTGGGTATCCATTTACGTACGCACGTATTCTTGCGTACACAATTTTCAGCGTACCCGGTTCTTGAGGACAAACTCGAAGGACTCTTTTTGTTGTTGCAGATTAGACATGCGGTTTTTTGGGGCGACATTGCGGGCGAGGGGTATACTGTAGAGGTGGCGGAAAGATGCGCAAACATTTGATACGGGGTTGGAGGGTATGGTGAATGCTCATTGTTTTTCTCTCTATCTGTCTCTCTCGCTCTCTCGCTATTTTTGTCTGGTTTCTCTTTCTCTCTTTCTCTCTCTCTATCTCGCTCTCTCTCCCTCTCTCTCTCTCTTTCTCTCTCTCTCTCTCTTTCTCTCCCGCCCTCGAACGCTAGGCGCAGGCTTTCGCACGCCCCCTTCAGGTTGGTAAGCTCATTCAAAAGTCAGGCAAAATCCTCGACAATTTCACCACATTCCTCCAACCCCCAAGGTTTTTTCAAGCAATCAAGGGGTTCGCAAACGGGCCAACTCTCAAAAAGGGTTGTTTACTCGCATGAATCGAGGGGATTCAGGCTCTGGGCTTCGCCTTTACCTGATCGACATGTTTCCGCGGAACGATGGTCTAAACAGGGTTGGAAAATGAAAATTTTGGAACGAGCAGGTGGATGGGCATGGTGTGAAATTGACAAGAACTAAGGTATACACGCTTAAAGGATGATACCTAGCCGGTCGGTTGGCCGCGTCTTCGTCTCCTCGGATGATCGTGTCAAATTTGGCCATCCACGAGTTGAGCACGGTATCCTTGCTGAGACCGTCTATATCCGGCAGGCTCCGGATACGCTTTTCGACGTTGCATCGGAAGACCTGCAAAATTAGGATTAAGATAAAGAGAATGAGAGAGAGAGAGAGAGAGAGAGAGAGAGAGAGATAGGACGAGAGATAGAAAGCGAGGTCGTGGGCTGACTCACCTCCCGAAAGTCGTGCTGCGAGAATCCGCCCGCCATGACGACCTTGCTGACCCGTTCGGATTTCAGAAAGACCTGAATCAAAAGTACCATCGAAATTTTGAAGTTTCCAACCTCAAAATAGGATTGTATCGCTTTAGTAAAGGCTTCATCAGCGACGATTTGCGTCTCGCCTTTCAGGAATTGGTTGAACCTGAAAAACATCAGCTTTTTGGATTTTTTAGTCTCTTTAAAGGGATCGGGACTGTCATTTTAGCGCAAGGCTCATCTACAATTGGCAAAAAGCCATCCGATTATGCTATGAAAAAAGGAGAGGGGCGAATCCAGGCAGGACGGTGCAGAGCTGAATTTTGCGGAGTCTTTCCTTTTTTTTTGCTAATTTTCATGGCCGGTACTCATTCTTTTAAGCTCCATACTTTTGCCTACCTCTCCTTAATGCGCGCCAGCTCCTGCTTATTAACTTTCATCTGCCGTCTCGCCATATCCGTTGGCTGCTTGGCGTTGAAGTGGTATGCGACACATCGGGAGACCAGGACGTAGAGCTGAAGCTTCCGCTTTCGCTCCTCTTCCTCGTTTTCAGCCCTGAAAGCAGATTTTGTAGATAACGTCAATACCGAAAAGGTCGTATTAAAACGAGATAAAATTGATCATACCGTATCCGCTCCTGCTCTTCTCTCGACAGATGTTCTTCTCCTGGATTGACGGGGATTTCTTCCTAAAATTATAATGTTTAGGTGAGACTTGCTGATAGGCTCCCTTGGAAATCTCTGAGAATTAAGCAATCGCGTTTAATTAGGGTTTTGGCATCGAAATCCTCATGAAACTCTGCTAGCGAGCCTATCATTTGTAATATTTTACCGACTAACTAAGAATTCCGCAAAGGCTTCCGCTTGCATGCGTAACTTCATACTTTCGCTTTAAATGCAAAGGTTTCCCTAGACAGCCGATTGGTGCCATGATTCCTGAAAGGTCCCGGCGAGTCTGCCCTTCCAGACACCCCTCATGGTAAACTTAATCAATCGAGGGTTTCGTATTTATCCAAATTCCCAATTTCGTCTAGCGTACCCTTGCGTACCTTACAGTTAAATCAAAAAAATGTGTTTTCCCAATGCTCCCTGCCAGCTTCCCTTTTTTATATTATTTTTCGCTATAGTCGATCCAAATTTCCTCGAGAATCACTGCTGGCGCAGTTTTAAAGACCGTCAGAACGATGAAATTGCATTGAGAACAAGAAAGTTGCGCACCGGGCGGGGGTCGAACCCGCGATGGTTCGCTCCACAACCCGACGCGCTAGCCACTATACCACAGGGCCAAGTACGGAAGGGAGTCAGAGGCGCCCCAAACCCCAGAGGGTCCTCGCCCAAAACGGGACATCACTGATGACGACGCTCTTTGCGCGTTCTTGGGGGCAGCACCCTCGGGGTGACAGTGCGCGTTCCATCGTTCTGGTAGTCTTTAACTCCTAACTTACCGCATTCCCATCTTCATCGGATATTTCTTGAGAGGATTGCATGACAGGTCGAGAGGCTGTTGATATTGTTCGCGTCTGAAAATACTGGATTTAGAATATTTTTTAACCGTTCTACACCAATTTTCCATTTTCCAAAGTTCCCTTTCCAGGTTTCCCATGGCGTATCAGCTTTCCAGCCCTACCCGCTATTTCAATTTATTCAAAAAACGGTCCCCAAGACTTGGAAAAATGCCAAGAATTGCTCTCCGGCGGGCCTCTCACCCACTCGTGACACGCCATGAATTTTTCAACAGGTGCCCTTGTCGGCGGGTGGGTAATTTGCTTCCCGAATTCGAAATAAATGGTGAAACTGCGCTAATAAATTACGCCTTATAAAAAAAACTAAAATGTTTTATCGCAATACGGTACTTTGACATTATCAAGGGGGGGGGGGCGGATAATTTTTTTGTCAGCCCGGAAATGTCATTTTTGGCAAAATTTAACTTTAATTAATTGGAAAAACTTCCTAAAAACATTTAAAAGAATGAATTTTGTCGGAAACCGGGCGTTTTCGTCTTCAAAAATCGATATTTTTGTAGTTTTAGCCAAAAATTTGGGAATTTGTCGGTTTAAGGATAATGGAAAAGCAGTTAACTCTATTTTATTAGAAAAACTGGATGCTGGAAAAATCCCCCCGATAACGCAAAAGCACCATCAATTTCGAAATTCTCAAATTTTTACAGTATGAAATCTCTCAATTTGAACATAGAAGTTTCGAGATATTGAGTTCCCATTTTTGTTCAGTTTTATTAGATAGACCAAAAAGATTAAATTTTCAATTTAAAAATAACCACCGGAATATGCTAAAATTCTAAGCTTGCCGACACCTTTTTAATTTTTTAATCGCTTAAACTGCTCCACTATACAACGTGCTGTTCTCGAAGTTCAATTCTTTGTGTGTTTTTTCCAAAAAAAATCGGATTTCCCATTTCCCCCTGACTTGCCTGTCGTTGCGGTGTCTGGGCCCCGATCGAATCATTCCGTTTGGGGCCTTGGGAGTTGTCGCGCTGAAAAAGATCAAATTATGCCAGCGGTTAAGTGAATCCTGGAAAACGTCAATCCCCGCCAGCACCACCCCTGCCCCCGAGCACAGCCAATCGGGCAAATCAGAAAATCAAACAATAAGTAAATCAAAACAAAAAAAATTGGGAAGCTGGGATGCTAGCCTTGAGGTTGTAGATGAACCCCAAGTTTGGCCTGAAAATGCCAGCGCGGATTTGGGCGCGTGGCGGATGCGTTGCGTGCTTCTCCCTCTCTCTCTCTCTGTCTCTCTCTCTCTCTCTCTCTCTCTCTCTCTCTCTCTCTCTGTTTCTCTCTGTCTCTGTCTCTCTCGAACACGCAACGAGGCCGCTCGCGTCTACCCTTCACGCCTGATAGCGTATTTACCAGAAACGTGTGGGGTAGGGAATGGCGAGTGTGGAGGAATACATAATTGCCGGCCAAATCGAATAGTGCCCAAAATACCCAAAAATCATAACCACACAACCCGCTGGATTTCCCGCACTTACCGGCTGCCGCCACGTCGAGGCGTTCTGATTTGAGGAATTTTTAATGGATTTGAAGGACAGCGAGAGAGAGCGGAGAGAGAGAGTTAGAGAGAAAGAGAGAGAGGGAGAGAGAGAAGTGCTAACGATGAACAGTTGTGTATTTTAGGCGTTTAAAAATTTGCTAAAAAACATATCGAATTTTATACAGGTTTTAAAAAGGGGTGCTCACCTTCAATGAATTACATTGCGACACGCTGTCCGACGGGGCCGGCGACGCGGAGCGGGGCGATATCGTCGGCCCGCTGAGGAAGGCCGGCTTCTTGGCGCGAGGCTGAAAGAATAAAATCATAGCCCAGGTTTCCTGAATGATCTCGGCTCATTGATTTTGCTCGCGCTGAGTCGCTGCTGGCCTGCTCCCCAAAGATCTCTGCTAGTTTGCACCCGAGGCCCTGAGTTTCCTAAAGGATTCCTGCTGCTAGTTGTCCATCCTCCTGCTCTTCTCTTCTTCTAAAAACTATGGTTTTAGCTCTTTTTCCCTCTTTCCTCAAGGCTCGCTGCTGGTTTGTCCCATCAAGCACAGATTTTAGTAGAGTTTCCTCAATGAGCCCTGCTAGATCCCCCTTAGGCCATGACGTGAGTGGTCTGTTGCGCTAGCAATTATCTCTGGCGGTCCCTTTTTCCTACTCTTTCTCGACCCCCTATTCTTGGGTGTTCCCCTAAAAAGTGTCCCCCTCCTAGATGGAGCACAGCGTTTGGCCTCCTTCTCCTCGTCGGGCCCCTTCCCGAAGAGGGTGCCACAAATTGCATCGAGAGTTGGGCGTCTTTTTATCCCCCTCGCCTAGCTCTTTTTTGGCATTTGGTTTCCCACTTTTCTTGCGCCACAACGGCCAACGCTCCTATCCTGGGGACAAAGAAGGCGAGAGCGAGTCAGCGAGAATGATACAAAGAGACTGTGAGAGAGAGAGAGAGAGAGAGAGAGAGAGAGTGGGCGTCAGAATTTGCCGGGAAATTCTGGCTGGAGAATGGGGTTCCGGAATCGAGGGGAATGCGGAAGAAAAACAGAATTTTCATGAGTTCAAAGATTCGCGAAAGCGCATATAGTTTTATGAATTTTTAAAGAGACCGAAAAGCCGAAGATCGACCCTTTCAATTGGTTAGGTCTCGACAATTATGTTACTACCCAAATTACCCGGTCAAGAAAGAGAGAGAGTGAGAGTGAGATAGACTCACATCATGTTGCTCGATAAACTCATCGTCATCCTCCTCGCTGCTCGACGCGCCGAGCATCGCCGGGGAGCCGGATCACTAAAATGAACCTTTGCGATATCCGGTGATTTTTTTATCTGTCGTATCCAAAAGTCATTAAATTAACCTTTGCTTTCTCACGTCGTGCTTTTCCCAAAAACACTGAAGAAATTCCGTATAGCTACAAGCTACAAATTATGGTGGGTGGTGCCAAAAAGCGCCAAAAACCCGGAGCGTTTCAATGTGTTTTGGACCTAGCAACGGGTCGGTAAAAAGCGAAATAAGTGGAAAAAAGTGCTAAAAAAAGAGATGGAAGAAACAAGGAAAACTACGGAAACAAGGTGTCAGACTTCGTAATTTTGAAAGGGGTACGGAACACAAACTTTTAGCTACCCTATGTAATTTCCTAGCGTAATTGGTTCGTTCATTGCCAAAAGCGCCGTTAGAAATACCTTCTAATCGTTGTAATCAACTATAATAATTTTCTTGAGGTGTCTGTCCTCGTCTGTCTGTCTGTGCGTCATGTCCCAGATTCAACTCGAAGGGGGGGGGGGGGGGTGCGGTCTTCCGGATTGGGGGGGGGGGGAAACCCCAATGATTAAGAAGTTTTAATTTGTAATAAAAATATATATCTCATGATTTGTCGGCCTAAATAGCTTAATTCGCCATGTTTTAATGGCAAAAACCTTATCAAATGAACCGAACTCGAACAGTCAAACAAAGAATATTTAGCGCCTAAAATCTATAATTTCACGGCGTAAGCGGATCTTCTTTAATATGTCGAAAATACCAAAATGAACAAAGAACCAAAAAAAGCAAGAATTTACGATTTCATGGCCTAATCAAATTTTTGGACTATGACAGACAATGGAAGACAGAAGAGCAAAAATTGTGAATTACACGGCTTACCTCAGCAGCTTACCCCATAAATTAAATAATTTCATGACGTAATCAGTTTTCTAACCCTTACAAAATTATTTTAAAAACTGACCGCGGCGCGTGGGTGTGCGCACTGGGGCGTGCCCGTCTTCGTCGTGTCGTGTGCTGCTAGCTCGGAATATTCCGCAAAAATGGGCAACAAAAACGGGAATAAAAAGGCGGAGGCAGCTTTGGCGATGATGATCGTCGAGGGATCGGGAATCAATGGTGTATTGGCTGTGGATGGGGGGATGGTTGTGTATGGATATGCGTGGGTCGTCGGCTTCTCCCTCTCCTTCCCACACCCGACGTTTTGGTCCCCTCCACTGCTGCCGCTGCAAAAGGAGAGCATGTTTCGACATTGTTTTCGTAATTACAATTGAATAGAAAAATTGGAAAACGTCAACAATCTGCATCGGACATCTTAAAAAATCTATTTAATATGTTTAAATTAAAACGCCATTTTTAGAGCTGGAAAGAATGGGTTTTTCAACATTGTTTTTACTATTAAAATTTGATGGCAAAAGTGCAAAACATTGAACGAAGATCAAGAGAATTTTTAGAGGTTCGAAAATCAGGTGTTTCAAAATTGTTATTCCAATTCGAATTCAATGCGAACAGCCAAAACAACTAAAGGTGGCACCGCATTGCCAAGCCAATACCAAAAATTGCTTACGCATTAAAACCTCGATAAAAGCTGGAAAAATCTAAAATTGAGCTTGGAAGTTTAGATTAAAGCTTAGTTGAGATTAATTGGGTCAAATTTAATAATTGCACGGGTTTAAGACCACAGAAATTTTGAGGGTTTCAAAGAAGCAAGTTTACAAAATTGTTTTTAACGTGGAAAACATCAAAAATCGATATACGAAAGTTTAACATTTTGGAATTTTTTGAATTGATAAGCCTAGCCGCCAGGGTATCGAAATCCTACTATATATAAAAAAATAGTGTCTGTGTGTGTGTAGACACTTTGCATAAAAACCCGGGTTCCAGCCATAACTCGAAGGGGAAAGAATTCTTTGGTCCAGAAATAGGGTAGTTAGGGGTAGTCGAGGGCGTAGATTACTGCACGCTTATCAGATTTTTATTAAAATTTCGTTTTATACCTTATTTTAACTTTTTAAAAACATATGGAAATAGACTAATTTGCATACGAGGGGCTAGGAGCCTCATTTTGGCTTTTGTCGCGCTCGCGGCCGGTTGCTTTTGCTATTTTTAGGGCTCGCTCTACTCTGGCCCGAATTATGCAAAGCCCAACTTTTAAAGATCCCCGCGCAAAGGCCAGGGGTGAAAAGCCGCGTAGCGGGTTTTCAACCCTGGTTGTTTAAAAAAATCAAAATTGCGAAGAAAGAGAGTAAAGCATCGAATTCCAGACGAGAAAAAGAGGTAAAAAGGAAAGGAATGGGTTTAAAGTGCTGTAAACGACAACATTCTTAAACTGGAAAATATGTTCAAAAATCTTTTCTAAATGGCGTATCGGCTTGGAAAAAGTCGACAGAAGTTGCCATCTTGCTAGAAGATTCAACGTTGTCGTTTTGGTGTTCGGAAAACTCAAAGAAACTGGAGCACTTCTCGAACGCTTGCGCTAAAAATAGCCCGGCCGAAGCGGGGATATTCGTGAAAATCGGGAAAATCCGGGCTTTCGTGACAAACAGTTTGAATGGGTGGATGACAGAGGTGTCGGTAAGCCGAAGGAAATTCTACAAAAAAAAATCGGTGACTTTTCAGGGGTGTGGGTAATCCAGGTCGGGTTTGTTGGTTCCAGGAAAGGTAGAAAGTAAAAGAGTAGTAGAAAAAAAACCCTATTTTTAGCGTTAATGAAAATTTAAAAATAGAGAGAGAGGGGGAGGAGAGTGAGTGAGTGAGAGAGAGAGAGAGAGGGAGGAAGAGAGAGATAGAGAGAGGGAGCGAGATAGAGCGTGAGATAGCGAGAGCGTGAGACGAGAGACGGTCCGTCGAGACGGTTTTTGATACCTAGAATGCCTCCAAAATAACCGTGAGAAAATCTAGGTTCGATAAAACCATCGAAAGAAGCTATTAAAGGTCCTGAAACATTGAAAGAAAACACCTCCAGCTAGTCAGAATACGCGATTGGCATTTCCGCGGAGACTAGAAAGCATACTAACCTTTCACTCCGCGGCCCCTACCTTGGCCCCGATCAAATTTCCGCGCCGATTAATGAGGGCACAGGTGAAAACGGGGAAATATAATGGAAAAGCTCGTAGTGTGGGCGCACGCGAATAGCCCTCGAAGGGGGGTTCTGAGTGGCAAAAAGTACGCAGCACGAACCCAACGGAATCCAATTGGCTGCAGCTGATGATGTGGTTAGGTAGGACAACGGCCAAGGGGGAGGGACTGGGGTTTATTTTTGGCCAAAAATTGAAGAGAATAATGAGGAAAACAAATTAGACGTTCTTAGCTACGAAACGCAACTCTTTACGCCTGAGTAGCGAAGCGTATTAAATTAAATAAGGTTCATTTTGAGTAGTAGAAAATCGGGATTGGGATTTTCGAAACGCCATTCGAAAAAGCGTCGAAAAATATACTAAGAATTTTAATTTGAACCTACAATAATGTAAAACAAAAGAGTTATAGCCAGAAACTTTCGGCTAGTGTAGCTGATTTTAGAGGCTTTAGTTTCGCGCTTAATTTCTTTAGAATTCCAATCAGCAATCGAACGAATAGTAATGCCGAAATCACGGATTTCGCCATTTTGCAAAACATGAAATAATTGAAAATTTACATCGAGTGCTCACTAACTTTAGGCTACGAAAAACAACTTTTCCAAGAGCTCCTAATCTCCAAAGGCGCTTGACCACCACCCATTTCATCACGCGAAAATGCGTCCCAACAAGTCCAATTTGCTCAACAATTCAAAAGGGCAATTTCCAAGTGTAGGGGGCTTGCCGTAAGGGGGAGAGTCCGGTCGGGTGAATGCTTAAAAAATGGCCGGGAGCAGGAGAGGACGGGAAGGAGTACTCCCCCGTTTGCTAAAAGACGCCCCTTTCTCGGGCACACACACAGCCAGCCAGCAACAAATTTATTCATTGGGCCCTGTGGGGCAGGAGGGAGAGAGACAGCGAGAGAGAGAGAGAGAGAGAGAGAGAGAGAGAGAGAGAGAGAGTGAGAAAGAGAGGGAGAGAGTGAGAAAGAGCGAGAGGGAGAGAGAGCGAGAGAGAGAGAGAAGCAGACGAAAAACCTACCCATCGTAAGGGGAGGAAACAAGAAAATGGGAAGAATGGCGATGGCGCCGGATGTCAACTTGGGAATTGAATTTCAATAGGTCTGCCGCCGGGATGGGGCATGCTTGCATGGGCTATGGATGATGGGATCATGAGAAAAACGGATGGAACGGGGTGAGAAGATGCTGTCGAAATGAAAGCCAAATTAGTGGCATGGAGCATGAGGTAGTCAAATGAGTAAGATTGGAATTTCCGGGAGACTATCGTCTATACTATACATCCTATTCATTAATTTCATTCAATAATAGAAATATTTTCTTTATTTCTTTCTTATTCTTGTCCTTGATGCCCCGTTTCCGGCTTCCATAGGAGCACGAGTCTGCGGATTTGCATAGGAAACTCAGATTTGCGGTGCGTTTCCCCTTAAAAATTCTAAAGCCTGTAAGATGCCAGCTCGGCGCATTAATGAGAAGTGGAGTGGGCCCCTGATCTTCAAAAAAATTCTGATAAAAAGCCGCTAAAAATTCACCCGTGCTCACATAACGTCTGCCTCTATTTAAGGCACTAGAACAGCCGATTGAGTTTTTCTTACAAATTCCGGTTTCTAGCGAATACAGAATTACAGAACAGAACTGGAAATGTGGAGTACAAGACGAGGGGAAGAGTCTTACCCTATTAAAGACCAAAACATTAAACAACTGACAATAAAACCTTCCAAAGCTGTACAAATCTGAGAATGGCGAATTGAAATGGAAATTGTTGGCAACGTCTAAGCGTTGAGACGCGCGGTGTCTTCCATCATAATCTCCATGAACACCAAGGCGACGTCGAAGGCTGGGGAGAGGAGGGGGGTAGGGAAGGGATCATTTTAGAACGACAAGCCGGGACAAAGCGGCGTACCCTTCAAAATAGACATAAAGGATCGCCGATTCAAGTGGGATA